TTTTTAATTTCACATTCATTATATATTATTGGAAATTGTAAAAATTTATTTATTTTTTTATTTTCACGAAGGGGCTTGATGATAAGCCATTTTGTCTTCTACTTGCCCCAGTCAGCTTGCATTTGTATAAATTTATTTGTATGTAAGGTTAACATTGTAAAATGTATCAAATGACGAAAAATAAAAAAAAAATAAAAAAAATAAAAAATGTTTACATTACCATTCAGATCCTTGATGTTTGTCGAAGAGTAAAATAAATTTGTATCGTCTGCAAACATTATAAATTCAAGTTTGCTAGAAACTTTTGGAAGGTCGTTTATATAGATTAGGAACAAAAGAGGAGCAAGAATCGAACCTTGGCGAACACCGCAAAATAATTTTAATAATTTAGTGTGGTAATTGTCATCTGTAATAACACACTGTTGTCTGTTAAACAGGTAACTTTTAAACCACTGCAGTATATGGTTTTTTAATCAGTATTTTTCCAATATTTAAGTAGGATTTCATAATCTATTGTGTTGAACGCTTTTGACAAGCCTACAAAGACTCCTAATACGAACTTCTTTTCATAGATTGATTCACTAATCCTATTGATGAGGTCTACAATAGCATGCTCTATGTCGAGTGCTGAGTTTGAAAACCATATTGGTTTTCATTCATGATTTTGTTTGTGGTTAGGTATTTATATAAACGATTGTAGATTATTCGTTCGAGTAGTTTTGAAAATACGGGAAGGATTGATATTGGTCTGTAATTATTTAAGGAGGATGTATCCCCGGATTTATAGATAGGAATAATTTTAGCTATTTTTAAATAGTCGGGTACAAATCCTGTAATTATTGAAGAGTTAAATATTTGAAAAATGGGTTTACTTATTTCTGAGAAGCATTCAAAATTATATTATCTGGGATATTGTCGATACCTGGACCTTTATTAATTTTTAATGTTTTAATTGCTTTCAGGGCCGTCCCGAGGAAGGGGAGTAGAAGGGTGTCTAGCACCCCTACGAATTTTTTCAGTCGGCAAATTGGAACTGGAGTCAGCAAAATTGGATCTATTGTTGGCAGTCGGGAAATATCAGAAACTAGAACCTTTTTTTTTTTTTAATTCAGATAAGTTAGCGTTCATTTTTTTTTGAAAAAAAAAAAAGGTTACCCCCCCCCCCTCCTTTAAAATCTCTTCGGGACGACCCTGATTGCTGTTTCAAGATCTTCGTATTCTAGTTCTTTAAAAACTAGGGAGCAACGAGAGTCCACGATGTAATTCTCAAATGAATCGTTTGTAGATTGAATTTTAGAGGCGAGTTTGGAACCTATACTTGCAAAGTATTGGTTAAATTTTTTCAGAAATAATTTTTTTTATTATTAAACTCTTTTTCACTTATGAGAACTTTTTGAGGTAGTTGGTTCGAGTTTATTTTATTTTTACCAATTATTTCTTTTATAATATCCTAGATTTTTTTATTATCTCCTTTAAATTTTTGGATTTGCTTTGAAAAATATAGTTTTTTGGATATCAATTTTATTTTTTCAAATAAATTTTTATATTTTTAAATTTTTATATGTTTATACTTAGACAAATTAATATCGTTTTTATTTTTTAGATATTTTATGTAGAGTTTTTGTTTTTGTTTTCGATTTTCTTATTTCTTTGGTAATCTATGGAACGGTTAGGTATTTTGCTTTAATTTATTTTTCGACCTTTGGAAAATGATTATTGTAGGTATTTAGGAAAATACCTATAAAAATTGTTGTAAGCGGAGTTGTGTGTCCGAGGTTACATTCATGATATATTTTTGACCAATTTACTACCGCTAGTGAGTCTTTTAGTGATTCTTTTGATGATTTTTATTTTCAAGTTATTGACACGTGTTGCTTGCTGTGATAGTGAGAAGTAAATTGGGAAGTGGTCAGATTTATCCGTTTTAATTATTCCTACTTTTAAGGATGGATTTTGAATTGAATTTGTCAATATATTGTCAATAGCTGTAATTGAGGCGGGAGTTACCCGGATGGGTTTGTTTATGATTGGGAAAATGTAATGTTGTATCATATCATTGAAAAAAATTTTGGTATTTGCATGTTCATGATAGCTAAGGTAATTTATGTTCATGTCACCAATATAGAATAGCTTGTTGTTGTTGTTATTGTCTTTCTCTATTGTGTTTAGTCTATCAGTTATAATTTTGAGGTTTGCACTCATTATTAAAGTAAATGATTTTTCTTGCTCTTTAAGTAGTCGTTCAGTTTCGTTAAGAATACTTTTTTTGTATTCCTCGAGTTTATTTGTAATAACTTTTTCGATGTTTTTCATTGTAATATCCATTTTTATGTAAAAAATCTTGGGCTTTTTTATTCCCAGGCTCCAATCACCGCGATTTTTTGCAAAGCACCCTTATTTGAAATAAGTATAAACATATAAATGTTTGGAGTTTGCTCCATGTCTGGAAGTTAGCTATCTAAAGACCAAAAATTGAATTGGCGCCACTGTATAGTAATAAACCTAAACTTGTTTATATTTTGAATTATATTATTTTAAGTTTAAATTATTTTGTTTAAAAAGTTATTAGAATCAACAAATATATTTACATCTTTAGTTTAATAGCAATAAAGCTTACTGAATTTGGCTTTTTATGACTACTGAACTTTTTTTGTTGCATTTGCACAAAAAACATTTGTTTAGAATAGTTGGTAAAAGTTTGCATCTGAAGAAAAACAAACTTAAAAAAATGGGCTATGCTGACATACAATTCAAGGCTGGTAAGGAAACCTTGTTTGAAGAGCATGTTAAAGAACAACTCTTTCAATAAGTTTTCAATAGAAACAATTTCAATTTAAACAGTTTGTGTTCTTGGTAGGCATTCATATATCAAATCTTTTGTGCTCTTGGTAGGCATTTATATAGAAACCAAAAAAAATAACAACTCTTTTTTTCAAAATTGTTTTTTTTCTTGTAATAGTGTTCATATTATTCTATATTTAACATGTGAACATACTTGATATTAAAAATTGTTACAGCTAAAAATTTTTATAGGTTCTTTAAATATTTTTATAGGTTCTTCATGCTTTACTGGGTACATTTGACCATATTATGAAAACTGTTGTACTTGCAAAAGTTAGTGTTTTTGATTGGTCTGAGTCCCCTTTCAGTACTTCAAATAGTTTTCTGAAACAAGCACAGATTTTATTACAAACAGATATGTTAAAAAAAAAAACAGGTATAAAATGGAACTACCCTGATACAATTGAAAAAAAAGGTACACCAACCACGGTTATATAGATAGAGAACTATTGCCCAAAAAATCAAACAGGGATTTAATTATTGCACAAATGCTCGTTTATTATTATGCAACATTTTAAAAACATTTTAAAAGTTCGAATTAGTGTTCTCAGTAATTCTTTGAGTATTTTCTTTAAAAAGAAAAACTTATCTGGATCAATATAAAAGCAGATTTTCACGAGTTTCCACCTGTTAAAAACGAGTTAACGAGTTTCCACCTGTTACAAACGAGTTAACGAGTTTCCACCTGTTACAAACGAGTTAACGAGTTTCTACCTGTTACAAACGAGTTAACGAGTTTCCACCTGTTACAAACGAGTTAACGAGTTTCCACCTGTTACAAACGAGTTAACGAGTTTCCACCTGTTACAAACAAGTTAACGAGTTTCCACCTGTTACAAACGAGTTAACGAGTTTCCACCTGTTACAAACGAGTTAACGAGTTTCCACCTGTTACAAAAATAAATTTACCTGGATCAATATAACACCATTACTTCACAAACTGATTGGTCATTCTTGGGATCTAATTTTGAATAATGAGGAAAGTGGTTTGGGAAATCTTTATGATTCAGGTTTAAAAGGTATTAACAAAATATTAAGATTGATACATACTAGACTCAAGAATAAACTCCTAAATTGTCAATGTAACAGACACCATTAACTGAATGTGGATATCATCTGATCTAATTTTTTTTTTTTTTACAAAAGATACAAGTCAAAACCATTCTGCAAATTTTGGTATGAATGAGGACATTCCGATAAATATTCTTATAAACATATTGTCTCTAATAACATTTTATCTGAAGATGACACATTTTAAAATGTTAATATATAAATAAACTATGTTTCTTAAAACTTCTTTTGATAATTTTTATTGTTTTTGTCAGTGATGTACCTATGTTATATTTGTATTACAAAATATACATACATATTTATAAACATTTATACATATTTTTGTTATAACCTATAAAAAAAGAAATTTTACGAAATTTTCAATATTTTGTTCTTTTAAATTATGACCTTGATATCCTGCAGGAAAATTATTTAGTTTTTTCAAAACTTACACATAAAAACCTTTCCGAAAGGTCCTTAATCAACACCATAGTACTTTCCGTTCAAAAAGTATGAACTAATGTCCGTGAAAACAGTTGTTTGGCCCACTGTGGGGAGGCTGAATAAGTGCGAAACAGTTGCAAAAACTGGCAAAAGTGCAAACTGGTAAAAGTGCGCCAGTAGAATTTGCAAACATTGACATAAGAGATCGTCCATATATTTTGTAACACGAAATTAAACTTATAGACAAAAGACAAAGCATTAAAAGTTTTCCCTCGCAGAGTATTAACCAAGTATATAAACAATGTTTAAAGTCCAGGAAAACCGCCGCGCAAAAGAGCAAAATGATCTCCTACTTATATTTTCAAAATATGTTTTGCGTTGCGTAATTTATGGACGATCCCTAAGTGCAAAGCAGCTCAAAAAACTGGCATAAAAGTGAATTTATGCCAGTTTTTGCAGTTCTTTTATTCTTTTAATAATTAATTTAAAATATGAAAAAAAAAAAAAAAAAAAAAAATTAAACAAATAACTAGGTTGCTATTTTGCGTAACTTATACAAAATGATCTCAAACCTTTGTAAATATTTAAGAAAAAAAAAACAAAAAAAAAAACGCGAACTCAGCCTACTTAGCGCGCAATCATTGGAAAAACATTACGAACCAGCATTTTCACTACAAGCAATAAATTTTATACTGTAACTAAATATTTACATGTGGTTATTATTGAATAATACCAGTGTCCAAGCATTATTAAAATAAAAAGCACGCAATTTTATCGGGCGACACCAATCAAATAACAAAATGGGGTAAGCATATCAACTTGCATGCAGGAATAAATTTATAAAAACCATTAAGCTTTACGTTGATTTTAACCAGCTCTCAAAATACGCATTCATTTTATTACGCGATTCCTCAGTACCATTGTTGACAGTAGGTATAATTTTATTTGGTCTTATGACTTGAACAAAAGATTTAAGCTCAGCAAAACTACTATGTTCACTGTAAGGAACACTATAGATTGTAATATTTCCACTAGTAACAGGAGAGATATCATTGATAGTTTTAAACGAAGCATTGTATGTCCATCCCGTAGGTTTAAAAGCAAGGATGTGATTGTATCCGTATTTTTTATAGACTTCCATATGATCGTTAAGTTTCTAGAAACAAGTAAAAAAAAACGTAAACATTATTATTGATCAATGTATTTCAATTAGGATAAATAATACGCTGTAAAAAATGATTGTTTTAATCTTTAGATTACTAAAGGTAAGTAAGATTTTTTTTTTTTTACTCACCTATTGGTTGAGTAAATTCATCTTTATTATTTTATTAAGTAAATTATTTATTTTCTAAAAGTAACACTAACTCGCGTGAAGACCCATAAGGAGTTGTACATTCAGATAAGATAAGTCATTAACAAATAATAGAAACAGAGTTGGTCCCAGCACACTACCCTGAGGTACACCACTAACAATTCGAATCGAACCTGATAAAGAACTATCTATCTTAACTTATTAAGATATATATAAGTAATGCAAAGATCCACTTAAAAAAGTTGCCACATATACACTGTTAAAAATTCCCGTACTTTTACGGAATTATTTTCCTTTATTTGTACGGAAACTATCCATTTAACAATATATATATATATATATATATATATATATATATATATATATATATATATATATATATATATATATATATATATATATATATATATATATATATATATATATATATATATATATATATATATATATATAATTGTATACTTATAATGTTAAATGTGTACTTAAATGGTTTTTAAAGTTATTATTTTATAACTATTTGTAAATATCCAAAAAAATTTATCTTCTGAAAATATATACGATTGAATGATTATCTGCACATTTCATAATGCTTTTGTACTTATTTAAGTGAAATATAAATATATTTTTATGAAAATTATATTTAGATAAAATTAAATACTCTGCTTTGGTCAGTTTTATGGTATTTCTTACTTCTAATTTTTTATTTCGTTTGTCAATATTTCATCTTTACATAAGCTGATTTTGTTATATTTTATTACATATAAAATAAAAGCTTTTCTTTTTGAGAATATTTTCATGACAAGGATGAGGATTCTTAAAGGTAAACTAATTTTTTTAATTTTAGATATGTTTTGATGATGTTTGATGTCTATATTCATATATATGTCTGTATTCATATATATATATATATATATATATATATATATATATATATATATATATATATATATATATATATATATATATATATATATATATATATATATATATATATATATATATACATGCATACAGTCATTTGATATTGAAATGGAAACATTTGATGGAGAGACTCTGAGCAGCATCAAATGGAAAGGCAGCATTAGAAAATTACAAATGACGCAATTGCTCTGGAAATTAATCCATCCTTTAAAAAAATTGATGTCGGAAATCTTAAGGATATATTACTCTTAAGGATGTAGTAATCAAAAATTTATCCTCTGATCAGTTTTATGAGTATAAAATAGTCTCTGCTATTAGAAGTGATATTGGGCCAGTTAATCATTCTAGATGGTTGACAACAGCCAACAGACTTTGCAGAGTTTGGGTCTCAAAATACAAGTTGGAAGGCAAAAATTTTAAAAACCTTAAATTAATTCATTGTTGGAGTTTACATGCCTATGTGGTTTAAAATTAAGGTCGAGCACAGGTTTACTGAAGGACCGAGACATATTCTTTACCAGCTTAGCCTTCTGAAACATCAATCAAGTGAAGTAGTAGAAATTGTTATGTCAACAGTTCGACGCTCAGCGTGATATGCTTTCTCTGAGTGCATCGTACAGACCATGCTCTGCTCAGAGAGTGTAGAGAAAGAATGGTATAGAGTTAATTGTGAAAATCAGAGGTCCTGGTGATGAAAAACTTCAAACTGGTGATAAAAATGTGAGAGCTATAATAACTCCAGAAATAAAACTGCAACAACGCTTTCAACTTATAAACACTGATGCAACAACGCTTTCAACTTATAAACACTGATGCAACAACGCTTTCAACTTATAAACACTGATGCAACAACGCCTATACAGCTAATCGACTGGAATATATCCTATGAGCCTTTCTTTCTTACTTGTGATCTGACAACAGAAGAAGTAAAACAGATAATATTTCAGCCTATGATTGTTCCGAATTGGTCTTTTCATGGACAGTCATTGAAAGACATGTTAAACAGGTAACAGAAGCAGCAAGCAAAGTTTATTCTCAAGAAAAAAAAGATGTCTACTAATCGGTCAAAGAAAGATTTGATTTTAATGACAAAAAAAAAGGTAAAAAAAATGTAAATTTTATTTTGTTAAAAAAAATTATAATAAAAAAAATCTATTTTTATTAAAAAAATAAATGATAGAAAAATGATTATAAACGGAAACTATTATAAACATTTTAATAATAATAATTTTTAATTATTTAAAAAAAAAAATTTGAGCTGACAAAAATATACAACCACAAGCAAATATTTGCTATTCTCGTAAGAAATTTTCCGCGAATTTAAGTGAATACTAAATATCGACAACCGGTAGCTAAATCCTTTCGGATTTTTAAATCTAAGCTTTTTTTAAATAAAATTATATATAAATACAAGTTTTTAGGATACAGGGTTTTAATCTGGAAAAAAAAAAGTATGACACACCCTATTGCAAAAGTGTTCTCCGGAGCTGTCGTCTATACTTTTAAAACTATTTAGTACATATCAGGTGTTGAGAAAGTGCTGGAAAGTGCTGGAAAGTGCTGGAAAGTGATTATTGAACTTTAAGATTATTGAACCATTCCTTGCCAATTGTAGTATAAAAATTGTCTCGATGGTCAGCACTTTTCTTCATTTCCTTTAACTTCAGGGGTTTGATAAGGTTCTATCTTTGGTCTATTATTTTTTTTTTTATTTACATTAACAACCTCCTAAAAATTCTAAGGTGGCATTGCTGGCTGATGATAATACTGTTTATTCTTGTCTTGATAAGAAGCCAACACTCTTTGATTGCTTGGAGAAAGCAATTGACCTTAAAAATAATCTCACTTCTGCTATAGCATTGGGCTCTCAGTAGCTGGTGAACCTTAACTCAGATAAAACTCAACTTTTTTTCAGCTAATTGTTATCACAATAATCTAGATTATTCTATATTTACAAACGGTAAATCACTTGATGAGTCAAAATTAGCTTAGGTTGCTCTTTATCGTACTCCACACTTTTATACTCCGGATTCTATTCTTTATCTAATATCTATAAATTTATTATTAATATTCTTATCTATAAATCTTAAATCTGTCCTTGTATGGAATACAAGGACTTGATTAATTAATACCTTATATGGAATATTGCCATATGGAGCAGATCTTTAAATGATGCCCTTATTCTTTTAGACAAAGAGCAAAATTGCACTGAAAGCATAGTTGGACCTGCTCTTGTCTTGAAAGCATAGTTGGACCTGCTCCAACCTTTAACCATTGTCACATTTTTGTTATGTTGCTTCTTTTTCACTTTTCTATAAATACTATAATGGACGCTGCTCTAAAGAGCTAGCATATCTTGTACCATCTACTAAAATTTATTCTCATGTTACTCGTCATTTAATTAAGATTCATCCTTTTACTGTGACTGTTCTTAAGTGCTCCAAAAATTCTTATTTGTCTAGTTTTTTTCTTTAAACATCAGTTCTTTCTTGGAATTCGTTTCCTCCATCTTGATTTCCTGATTCATATAATTTACAATCTTTTAAGTCATCTGTTAATCATTATTTTGCTTTATAAACTTTATTTTTCTCTTCCAGTAACTTCCAACACTAATAGTGGTCGCTTGCATCCTTGTTAGAAGTAAAAATGTTTAAAAAAAAAAGGAATGTCATTAAGTGAACAATACATCTGAGTGGTGATCTGTATGAAAGAAGCCAAGACTTTTAAAAAAGCAAATCACAAGGATTGCCTGGTATAATCAACATAAAAATTGCCTGATTAAAAGTGGCAAAATAGTCTTGGACAAAATAAATGTTGAGAATATGATTGTTAGAAAATCCAAAAATATAAAAAAAAATCCGTTATAAAAACAGTTTCCATTTCGAGAAGTAGGTTTTGTAAAAAATAATCAGTATTAAATAAGTTACTTTCACAGGGTGTCACACTTGAAAGAACTTGTACACATTTTTGACAGACTTGAACTTTCTTTGTCAAATCATCCACAATTAATTACAAAACCTATTTAATTGACTGTGAAACTGAATCAGTTGAAACATTTTGTAACGCATAAGGTTGTTGTTTCTTTTTAAATAATGCAGTTGGCTGTTTGAAAATCAATTGTTTATTTGCAGAAATTTGATTCTGAAATACTATGTTGGTAACTAAGTCAATGGTAACTGCAGCTGAGAAATCTGATTCAGGGAGACAATTACTGTTAGAGTTAGATTGTTCTATTGAAAAAAGTACTAAAACATTTTTATATGTTGATTTAAACTGCATTGTTGTTGGTCTGTCATTCCAGCCTCCTTTGTTTCGTATTAATGCAAAAAAAAATTTCTAAGCAGTCCTGATTAAATTGAGCTGTGCAAACATAAAAAAAATCCTCATGAAGCAACTCATTTGCAAGACAATATTAGAAATAGTGACATCTAAACCCCAACGAATATACTTTTTTGGCTGCAAGCACCAGAAAAATGCCAACCTTTAATCCAAACTCTTAAACCTTCAAGCTCTTGTTTAAAACTACTATTTAGAGTTAAAGCAGAGCGTGTTGATTTATCTGCTTCTAGTTTATGAGAGTTCAAGATGTCAAATAAAATATCCATATTTTTAATAAAAAACTATTGACAAAACATTTTCAGGCAATAGTTTTGCATAAGCATATTCAGTCATAGCAGTAGCAACTTTACCACTAAAAATTTGTGTTGTCAATTTTACTCGCATGGCTAATAGTGATCCTGGATCTAAATGACGATCTGTCAACATTGGCAAAAGTCGCACAGCATCAACCTTGTCTAAATTATAAAGTTCTTACAGATGCTTCCACGATATTATTTTACCATCAGATAAAATGTCATGTTTTATTAAATTGTTTCTAACATTTTTTATTAGATGTGGTGGATCAAATATTATATAAACTTTTGATTTTATAGTTGGATGTGAAATTTGTTTATTTAATAATGAAAATCCAAAAAATTTGAGAGGTCTTATATTACTCGAATTTTATCACAAACAAGACATCTTACAGCAAAACCTATTTTATGTAGATGAATCAAGCATTATTTACTATATTAGCTAAAGTGGTTGAACACATAGTAGTATTACTGTAAAAATATGCAATTGGTTGTTTCCATTTTGTTAATACCCGCAGACCATCAATACAAGTACTTAGTTTACAGGTTTGCCATTAGATTGAATTCCAATGATCTTGACATTGTTTTTGTCATAATCAAGATATTGCTTTAAAGATATTTCATCAAAAATAAGGCTACAGTTTCGTTCCAATTTTTTCATGGTATCTACTCGCATTTTTAGTAAAGCCATAACCTTATTGGAAAAACCAGATTCTAGGGTCCCAAAAGATTTTTCAAGAAACATTAAAACAGTGCTTCTAAAAGGTAACAAAATAACTTTTCTAAACATTTTAAAAGCTTGTTGACTGTGATACATGATTCTCAAAGCTAAAATTTTTTGACACGATTATTCATACATAATTGACTTTCAAAAAATTGTTGAGTGTTTGTTAAATATTTTTTAGACAAATTAATATGTTCTATTGAACCTTCATTTTTTTAACATACTATGCTTTATTTTCAGGTTTTCAAATTTTTTTTTGTTCAAATCAAAAAAAAAATTAATATGTTCAATTTTTTATTGAACCATCACATTTTTTAACATATCATGCTTAATCTTCAGGTTTTTAAGTTTTTAGTCAACAATTTTTTTTAGATAAACTTATGTTTATTGAATTATCGCAATTTTTTAACATCTCATGCTTTATCTTTAGGTTCTTGAGTTTTTTTTTAAGTCGAAAAATCTTAACTTGAGATAATAAATACTTATTTCTAAAAGTAGTTTTGACAGTTAAATTATTTATAATACTATTCTCAACACTATTTATTGTATTTTATTTGACTTTATCATTAATTTCTTTTTTTGTATTTTATCTTGTAAATGAAGTCTGTTAGTAGGCTGTTTTCTTTTTAAATTTAATGTAGAAGGTTGATTTGGAAAGTTAAAAATTGTTGGTACAGCAGTTACAAGTGCTCTTTTACTACCATTATTGACAAGATAATATTGGGAAAAATCAAAATGTTAAAATAGAATAGTTAAGATTAAGTTCATTACATGATTTTGTATCGAGATCTTGACAACGACAATTACGAACCCAAAGTTTGCATCTAAATAGTAGGTTAAACCTAATTAATTTAGAATTATTTACATCATATTATGTAAAAATATTTTTTGTTTCATAAAATTTAAAGTAAAACAGTGTTTTAAAAGCTTCTTTAAATTCTTGATATACTAGTTTGATTTGACTAATAATTACTTCTATTTTTATCCATTATCATTTCCAACATTTTTTCCATGTTTGTTTACACACCTGATGGCTGAGCAAAAGGGTGGCATGTTTAATATTGAGAGTATTTATAGAAAAAGCAACTTAATTCTTGTAAAGGGAAATATAATAATATTATAGTATGTTAAATATTTAGCAGACAACAAAGATGTATAATAAATTTATGTTGTTTATAATATGGCCCCGCAAGACATCCCATAATTCAATGTACGGCCAATTACACATAAATATATGAATTTATAGCGGAGTTGGCAGACATTGGTCTTAGGTGATGTGACAAAATTTGAATCATGCGAAAGAAGAGGCCCTTATAGACACTGTTAAAGATTCTCCAGAAGTCTGTCAAGTCTTATAATTGAGAAAATAATATAAGGATTTGTGAACTGAGAATAGTGGACTTTGGTATTAGACACAACTTTTTTACAATGATTTCTAGCAATAGTAAACAGATGTTTGTTTTCTGGAGAACTATTTTGGTAAAGGGTATGGAAGTAATGGTTATGATTGGAAATTGCAGCAGTACAATGAGGAGGAGAATTATGGAGAAAAGTGGAGCTTGAATTGAAATTGTCGAGATTTGCAGGATTCATCAAGAAGAGATAAAAGATTCCATGCTAGTCTGAATTTAAATCCGAGAAATTACATAAGAAGCACATTTGTCAGCAGAAAGACAGCAGATTTCTACCCAAGGCCCTCACAAAAAAAAACACATAAAGAGCCCCAGTCAGCTTTAAGGTAGTCGTAAAAGGTACTATGATAGATAGGGGGATTCTGATGATAAAGAAGAATGATATAATAGTTTTAGAGATGATCAGAAGCACCTAAAGAGTGAATGTGGACAAACTGAGCACTGATGAGAATCAGAAACAATACATAAGTGGAGTAGAGACGGATAATGATTGAAACTGTCTGGAAAGTAAGTTAGAAAGTTCAGGTCAGTTTGATCAGAAATATCATCAAAAAGAGTGCAGTCTTGAAATGAAGGAGAGCAATACAGAACAAAAAGAAAAGTGATAGAGTAAAATGGTGATAAACGAAAGCACATAAAAGAATAGTCTGTTGATTCAAACCTAGTTTCCCAACAAATTGGTGAACTCTTACAAATGTAAATGCCCTGGCCAAGCATGTGACCATTGGAGTCTTTACGAATTAAAGGAAGATAACCATCAACACTAAAATCACAAGATGAAATAGGTGAACTTAAATTTATTTTACAAAGAACAAGTAGGTCTGATGCGTTTTGCAAAAGATAAGACTCAACAGAAGAAAAGTTACTTCGAAGACCACAAATATTATTGAATGATAGATTTAGAGAACTTGGTGATGGTTTTTTGTTTTTTATAGTTTTTGATTCTTTAGTTGATTTTCAAATTAGTTAAAGAACTTAACTCAAAGCACAGATAGTGGTCAGTTCACTATCTAAGTATTTTAACTAAAAAATAGTTATTTTTAAAATTTTCAAAGAACTTTATTAATCAATATAAAACAAATTAAAAACTTTATTTCATTTGAGATATTGAACCACTGAGTACTTTTACTCCTGGAAAAGTTGTTAGTGAAATCTATTCTATGAGCATTCGCTCCATCAATTATCGCCAGACCTGGATTTTGACATAAGCGGTGTGCCATGGTACAGGGGCCCCTACCAAACAAATAATGACGTTTTTTTATATTAATATGTTTATAGTAGACACTAAATCTTACCTGAACAAAAACTTTCGTTTTTGGAAAATAAACTTTATTGGGTTATCTAAGAAAAAAAAACTTGCAGATAATTTTAAAGAATGAGGGAAACTTTTAAAGGCATTTTTGCTGTAATTAATTTTAACTGTATAGGGTTGCCAAATATTTAGGTAAGGAAAATCAAACTAAACAATTTGAAATGACCTACAAACCTAAGAATTACACACATTGTAATTCTTAGGGAAAAAAAATTCTAATATACTTTCACCTCAATTGCTAGATTTGAATCTAATCGAATCTATTTAACTGGTTGGATAGTTTGACATCATTTATAGTTTATCAGATTTTATTTCTTTTAGCTTTGAATCCAAAAACATTGGTTTGTACTTTGTAAGTTGTACAAATTATATAAGATCTCTATATAAGATCTTAATTAGACAGATGTTATGATAAGTGTTATTAGTAAAATGCATAGTATGCTTAGTGTTGAGTGGGCTGTTGGTTAAAAGAGTTTACTAAAGCTGAAACTAAATTTCAAACTCGTTTAAAAATTTAAATAAAATTCCAAAAAATTAATTTTGATACCATTTAGAAATATTGATGTTAAATAAATAAAAAATTAAACAAACTTATGGGTGATTGAAGGAAAATAAGAAAAACTGTTTACAAATTTTTAAAATAAATCTTACTTTTATATTGATTCCGAATAAAGGGAGTACATGTACTTGCGCAATATTATAGTCAAGAGTAAGTTTACTCTCCAAATCCTTACTTTCTAAGCACTTTAAAATCTTCATTTTTTCTTTTGTTACACCAATTTTTAAACATAATTCATTTGCTAATGAATAAAAAACTCTTTCTTTCCCAATGGTATACGTACCACAGACAATCAGAGTTTTCGTATTTTTTTGGAGAAAACTTCGTGCAGTTTTAACAACAAAATCAATTATTTCATTTTGTGGTGGAAATATATAGGTTGGATCACAGTATGTTGTATCTAGATAAAGTTCATTAATAGGAATTTTACAAAGCTTTTCATTTCTCAACATGTCTTCATGAACTCGAAAATCACCAACATGCAAAATTCGTTTGTTATTGAACTCAAATAAGAACATAACTGATCCTGGACAGCTAAAATAATATATATATATATATATATATATATATATATATATATATATATATATATATATATATATATATATATATATATATATATATATATATATATATATATGTATATATATATATATATATATATATATATATATATATATATATAAACAAAGTAATATAAAACTTAAATAAAGGATACAAAACTTTAAACTCCAATAAAACAACTCCATATCTTATTCACAGCAATTTGATTGCTTATTTATAGCAAGGATACCAACATTAGTAGTTCTATTATCAGTGGAAAAATAAAAAATTGTTATCTGATGTTAAAATTAGCAAATAAGCTAGCCAAATAAAATTGAACAATGATAAACATCTCTTGCTAAAACTCCAATACTTCTTTAAATAAATGTTTTAACTAAATTCCCCAATACTTATTTCAACTAGTTTCCAAAATAAGCAGCTTTCTATGCGAAGATTTAAGTTTTGGAGTTTGTGTAAAATCTTTACATGAATTACGTACAAAAAGAATCAAAAAATAATTGCAGTTAAAAAAAAATTATCATAAAAAAACAATTAAAATGGAAAAGAATAAAAGACTTTTAAATGAATGAATAAACTAAATTTTAATTATGGAATAAGTAATTGTTACATTTAAAAAAGATCAACACAATTTTAAAAAAAAAATCGTTTTTAGCTTTAAAACACTTCAACAAAAAAGTTTTAAAATGTACTCAGTCTTCATAGCAGATAACATTTTAAAAATTTACGCAACATTAAAATCCATCTCATTAAAAATATCCTTTTCTTTTAAATTGAAAGATCAATGACAGATACCTTTATAATGTAACTAAGTGAATATATTTAGCTCATGTTACATGATTCCTAAAATCATTGATCCTTTTTGTTGATTCTTTTGATTATTGATTATTTTTAGTTTTTATTATTTGCATTTTTGCTACAATTGTCTCAACAAAAATTCTTAAACAAATTAAAAATTAATACAAATTAAAAATTAAAAAAAAATTAATTAAAGCCAATTCTTATACAATTAAAAATGAAGGTATTTAGCACATAGTAAAGACAAACAATGATTTATGCAACTAACATTACATAAAACCCGATTTTTACTAAACATCTATTTTTTAAAAACCCTACAATTTATCAAAAAAAACAAACACACAATTTGTAATTTTAAATTTATCTATGAATCATTTATTCATTTATTGCAATTTGCAGCAAAAACTTACAATAAAATAAAATTTTAAAAAAAGAAAACAAACAAAAAGTAAAGTTGAAAAAAAATATATTTAAAGTTAAATACAGCAATTATTATATATTATTATATTATTATTAAAATAATATATTAAATATTTTTACTAAAATAACATTAAAATAAGAACTTCAACCATTTATGAAAAAATGATTTTACCACCATTAAAATTAAAGTCTAAATAAATTAAATCTAATTAAATCTAAATAAATGTAGGAAAAAAATAATTTTCAACTCATATTTAATACTTGTCAACAAAGCAAATTAAAGTAGCATATTGCAAACAATAAAACTATTGTAACCGCATTTACAAAATTTAAATGATTTTATAAAATTTTAGTATATGCATTTTTGAAACTACATCCTGATTATTGGTCAAACCTTAATTCTTCAAAACTCTGATTTTTTTTTTTAACTGATCAACCTGGTTACAATCATGCAACTGGTTAAAACCATGCAAGATTTTATTTCGGAAGGTCAAAATAGCAATTTTAGTCATTTCATGATTTTGATTTTATGAAAAAATAACTTTAGTTTCAACTATTTTCCATGTTAGTTTTAACTATTTTCCATGTTTTTATTCAGCATGGACTGTTTCCATGCTGAATAAAAATATATTATTCAGCATGGAAACAGTTGGTCAACAATCTATGACTGTTCTCTACCTTTATAAATCTCTTATTAGACCTTATATGGAATACTGTTTTCATATTTGAGCTGGTTCTTCTAATGACATCTTATTGTTGTTGGACTTGCTCTAACGGCTAACATTGAGCCTTTATCCCATTGACATAAAGTTGCATCTCTTCTTTCAGAAAATTACTACTGAGGCAGCTGCTTAAGTAAGCTATTATCACTTGTTTCATTAACAAAAAGTTGATCTTGCTTAACTGTTCATTCTGCAAAGTTCCATCCTTTGACTAAATCTGAAATTTTTTGAAACTTTTATTCTTCTATTTTTTTTCTTTGAACAGAACAGAGTTTTTTTTTCAGCGTTTTAAACTTCTTTTTCATCTTAATGTTTTCATGACACATATAATTCTAAGTTTTTAAGTTTAAAGTCTTCTGCTAATTTCTTTTTTACTTTTAGCTCTCTTCTTCGTTTCCTGTTAACCCCCAACTTAATTAGTGGTTGCTTGCAGCCTTGTTAAGAGTAAATTTGTTTAATTAAAGAAAATGTATATATGTGTGTGTGTGTTATATTTTGCAAAACATTCAGTGTTGTACCCAGATGTAATCCCATATCATATGACCAGTATGGGCGCCCAAACAAAAATTATAAATTTCGATATTAATAAAGTCCAACATTAAATAAAAGCAAAAAATAAACACTTTATCAAAGTTGTTTTCTTATATTTTTAATATGGAATTTAATTTACGTGAATTTAAGAAAAGACTTTTATATTGTTAAAAATTAAATTGTCGTAAGTATTTTTTTTTTTTATATTCCGCATTAAGACCTTTTAAACAATAACTATAAAAAAAAATTATCAATAAAATCTAAATTCGTTAATTGAAAAAGATTATACTTCTTTATTATTTATAAAAAAAAAAATTTTTATACATAACATAATACTTTTTTGTTTATTTTATCACAATTTAGTTTTTTGTTGTTGTTTTTTTATGTATTGTTTTTTATTTAAATGAACTATATTTAGAAATCATAATTTGTATTCATAAATAAAACGTGTGTGTGTGTGTGTGTGTGTGTGTACCAACTTGACAAGATTTTAGTTGATAAAGAAAAAGATTAAAATTAGTGAAAAAAAATTCATTTAAACAAATACACTTCTCTTTTCTTACAACAAAAAATGAAGTTTTATGGTGCTTTTACACAATTAAATCTATGATAGAGACTTTTGTAAAATCTTAACACTTTTGCATAATGAATTAGTTTGCAAAATTATATTTAATTAACTAGCAAATAAATAAAAATAAAATTTCTTTAAAAAAAATTGCAAAACCATGTTAAATTCCTTTAAAGTTAAACTTAAATTTTTAATTTTTAAAAACATACTAAATTTTAGTATTTTATTAAAAAGAAAAGTAAACAGACAGTTAAATGACTATTTAACTGTCTGTTTTTTTTACCCAAAAAATAAATTAAAATAAAACAAATGTGGTTAACATTTTTTTTATGACAATAATTAATTTAATGTTAAATGTGACCAGTATCACCCAAGCTATCACTGGGTACAACACTAACATTATAAAAAACTTTTAGACAAAAACAAATATTTACTGGTTAGCATCAAGTAAGGTTAAATGCACATCACCCAATCGAATTAATTGATTCATAGGTAAAACTACTACATTGTCTTGACAAACATGCAATTGCGATATAACTAAGTTTGCAGTTATCTAAGACAAAAAAACTATATATACATGCATACATATACATACAAACATATATATATATATATATAAATATATATATACAAATATATATGTATATATATATATATATATATATATATATATATATATATATATATATATATATATATATATATATATATATATATATATATATACATATATATATATATATATATAAATATATATATATATATATATATATATATATATATATATATAAATATATATATATATATATATATTCAAACAATTTTAAAATGTATTCTACAAAATAGAATGCTCAGTGTTCTTAAAAGAACAGAGCAATTATAAAGTAGTAGAAAAAAACTTACACGGTAAGTGATTTTCTACTACAGTGACTTTCTACACTGTAAAATGAAAAAAATTTTATAAGTGATTTTCTACTAATTTAGATTAGATAAACACTTTGATATCAAACTGAAACAGCCTGCTGCCAAGGGCTTTATCATACATACATCTGTACATACATCAACAACCTTATTGTTTGCTGCCTCAAAGAAGTGTCGCTCTAATATTATTAATATATCTATATTAATATATATTTCTTGTTTCTATTTTTACCCAATAATTAATAATAGTGAAAAGCTATTTTTTTGTAAACACTTTTCTTTCATAAAATTTTGCATGTGCATTTTACAATTATTTTTATATGATAAAGTGTAAAAACAAAAACTAAAATGATTATTTTTGCACTAATAAGTCTTACACTTAGTTTCCAAAACCAATCATAAACTTGTGGCAATTCTTTATATTCAGAGTGTGAAGGAAATGTTAATTAAATATTTTGAAATTAAGATTAGGCCTGAAATATTAATATTAGGTCTCTAATAATAGTCAAAAATTATGTTTATTCCACCAATCAAAAACACAATCAGTATTTTTCATTATTTAATTTAATCTAAATTTAAAAGTTTGACTTGGCGATCGAATTACACACACACACATATTAGTATAAAAAGAAATATATATATATATTTATATATTTATATATATATATATATATATATATATATATATATATATATATATATATATATATATATATATATATATATATATATATATATATATATATATATATATACACAAATTTTTAAACATAATTCAAAGGAAGATTTTGACTGTTAAATCACAAACATAAAAAATTAATAAACTTAAAAAACCTTTGAACAGTAAACCTTTCCAGAAAATTTTTTTGATAAACCTTTGTAATGATCAGAGTGAAAATGACTTAATAAGTAATATTTGCAGCCAGGGATTTCACCATAAGAAAATGCATCAACACTTATACTAGCAACTATAAGTTAAAAAATGCACTAAAAACTACTTTGGTTTTTATGACAACATTAATTATGTTTATAAATATTTGTTTATATATATCTGTACTTGAGAGCCAACTTGCCTAAACTTCAAAAATACAACTTTACAGTAGGAGCAAAACAAAGTTTTTTTTCCACTTATTCTCTCTTAACTTTTTTAATAATTGGATTAAGAAATAAACACTTCTTACAATTAATTACAACTTCATACAAAATAACTACATTTCTTAAATTTATAATACTCTTAATCCACTCTTAAGCAGACAAGAGTTGTATTTCCAACAGTATACAATATATATCAATAAATTTATTGCTCCTCCCTGTTTTATGAATACTTACACTTACACAGACAAAACAACAAACTTTATAAATTATCAAGACGAATACAGTAAGTTGTTAATGAATGCTACCACATCTAATTATAAGAAAATCCAACTCTATAAAAAAAGATCAAATTAGCAGAGAAGGAAAAAACTATTTTGAAGAACCATGATGTTTTTAACAAAATCAATATAAGCAGTTTCTCCAATTGTTTCATTACACTAAAAGACCATAAACCAGATTTTTTATATAACCCCAATGTTTGTCTGATTAACCCAAGAAACATTTTTCAATTAAATCAGTGGAGTAGTACACAAAATGTAATAAATTGGTTCAAAACATCAATAAAAAACATTTTTACAATTATTTTTGACATTGATGACTTTTGCTCTTCTATTAATGAAAAGATTTTTTCATTAATAAAAAGGTAAAAACTTATTGACTCCATTCACTTGGCAGAACAATACATTAAAATTGTTGCAGACCATAAATCTTTAATTCTTTATGTGCAAAAATCTTTATTATTTACCACGGATGTATTTGAAGGATGGGAGGTGTTTAAGTTGGTCAGTTTTTTTCTTTTTTTTCCAGACTTAGCATTTTTATAGCAAGTGTGATTTTAGATTATATAGCGATGATGGCTTAGCATTAAAAATGCAAGTGATCCAAAAATATAAATTTAGAAAAAATTAGGAAGCATTTTTCTCAAATATTTAAATAAAATAACCTCAGTATTTCCATTCAATCTAATATAAAAATTGTTAATTACCTTAATGTTACACTAATTCTTAACAACTGCAGTTTTCAACCTTACCATAAACCTGATAGTACGTTTGCTGTTGCAACACTAAACTTGTATTTCTTATAATGGTTTTCATTTTATATTTTTGAATAATATGGCTGATGATTGCCATAAAGGCATGAGTTAATGAATAAAGTTGTATATTTTCATTTAAAATTTCCTTTTGAAATCAACAATCGAAAATGCAGAAAGATTAAATTGCCAGTGGGAAACCATTTTTCCGCTTTCCAGTAGAATCCCATTTACATTTACAGTTAAGTGTATTGAAAACAAGGTAAAATGACAAGATTTTTTCCCAACTTTTTTTGTACCTAAATTCTTAAAAAGTTAGATTCAAATTTCGATTAAAGTAACACATTGAAATTAATGTATATTATTGCAGGGGTGTGGAGTCGTAAAAAAAAAGACTCCGACTCCAGTTGTTGAAATTTTTTGAGTACAACTCTGACTCCAGTTGTTGAAATTTTTTGAGTACATCTCCGACTCCAACTCCGACTCCAACTATAACTCCAAAGCAAAATTTTTGAAAAATTCTTTGAATTCTTTAAAAAATATTATGCAATAAAATGAAAAAAAAATTTTTTTTACTCCGACTCCACAGCCCTGTATTATTGAAACAAAGTTGAGAATGTTTTCTGCTTTAATCATAAGATGTTTTCTGTTTTAAGGTACTGTCTGGTACATTTCCCTAAATTATATTACAGAGTTATAGGTTTCAACCTCCCTCTTTTTAAATAAAAATTAAGTTGATTTTTTTAAAACCTTGTTTTCTTACAATCTCACCTCCTAATATGAGTTGATGTAAAATCGAAAAGTCAAAAAAAAATAATAATAAAAAGCATTTCTAGCATGAACCCCTGTAAATTGTAAATGTCATAATCAAAATGTATATATCATAATCACATTTATGCATGTGAATATTTAAAAAAAATCAAAAATTTAACAAAAACACCTACCAAATATTTTTTTATAAAATGGACAGTCTTTTCTGGAATTTTTTTTCATTTCAGCTCTTCTTTCTGGTTTTACTGACACGCTCTGTTTAGTAAAAAAGCGCGAATTAGGTCCAGATGTTTCAGATGGTGCTATCTGAAATCTGCGAACAACAACATTTGTTTTTTCATCATTTGTTTTATGTAGATTCAGTTTTTTATCACTCTCAAAAAAATCATTTATTTTTGCTTGTTTGAAGTCTTTTGACTTTAGCTGGGAGAAAACCTGTTGTTTTGGATCTACTGCTGCCACTTTGTTGTAATTTAAGTGCTGCAATCGACAAGTAGGAGTGACAGCATCAACCATGTCATGTATTTGAATAACAGGAGTTACAACATTGTTTATGAATTGAGATTGAGAAGTAGAAACAATATCTATTGAGCGATAAGAAGTAGGAGTAACAATTGTATTTACAAAACTTGATTCCAAAGTAGGAACTACAACTTTTTTTAATTCATGATTATGAAAACCAGGACTGATAACTTTTTCATTTAAAACTAACTGATTTGATTCATCAAAACAAGATGCTAAATCAAAAGATATAGTATAATAAAATAATAAAAAATATTTAATATAATAAAATAAAAGATAGAGTATAGTATAATAAAATAAATAGTAAACCAATACGACAATAAAACATAAACAGCATTTGGTTTATTGTTATACACTTGACTTGATAGACAATGATAAATAAACTGATTAAAAAATACTAAATACATTGATTGGACTAAAAAAAATAATAATAATAATTGAAAAAAATAATACCTAAATCAATATCTTTATCCAAACACATATTAATGTGAACTTGTGGATCAACATTATAAAAATTCAACTTTATGGAGCAAACTGGACAAAATTCTACACCAATATTTTCATGCTAAAAACAATCATAATAGTTGTTTAAGCATCTACAGATAATACAGATATAAAAAATGATATAATGGAGAAAAAATCAATAAAATCAACTTTTTTATCAATATTATTATTCAAATCCCCCTAACAAAACATCCCCTATAACAAAAGTCTAAACTTACCTTTTTGGAAATCTCAGTTAACTCGGTTAGCTCTATTTTATAATGACTTGTTTTCTTGACCCTTTTTAACGGAGAAATTTCTTCATTTAAATCTTCCATCAAAAAAGAATCTGTTTTTAATTAACTAAACAGAATCTACACAAAGTAAAAAAAAATTGAAAATATCAACAAAAAAAGTTTATTGAGAATAAAAAAATTAAACTTAAAGAACTACAAAAAAAGAAGCTTGAACTTATTTTTAAAATAAGAGCAAATTTGTATTTGCATATTATAGTATATTTGAATGGCTAACTTGAAAAAAGGGACATGTTATGAGAATTTTTGCAGGACATGTCCCTTTTTTCAACAAAAGCAATTTATTTGTTTTTTTATTAATTTTAAGATTTTAAATTGTACATTTGTATTTTTAATGTTATCTTTTTAAACTTTTACTTACTAACTATTAAGAACTTGAACTCAGAATAAAAAACTATATTACATTGTTATTTTAGCTATTCACAATTGAATGATAATTGTCATTTTAATTCAAAATATGCAAAAACAGAAGCATCATTTCCTTCTTTTAAGCAATAAAACAATTTTTTTTAAGCAATGAAACAAATTTAATAAAATTATATCTATATAATTATATATCATTATTATATAATAATATTTGACAGTCCTATGAATGAGAGATGAAATGTTAGACCTACATCTAACATTACATCTCTCATTCATAGGACTAATCTTATCATTCATAGAACTTGATCTTTACTTTCCTTATCCCAAGGATAAGGCAGAACTATTTGCAAAGAACTTTTCTTCTAATTTAAAATTTGAACCTAATGGCCATACTATTTCCTCCTTTGAACTCAACAGGTTAATCCATTGTTAGACATTCAAATCACTCCAGCTTCCGCTGCTAAAGTCATATCTCAATTAAACTCTTATAAGGTTTGTGGTCCAGACAATATTCCTGTCATAGTCTTACAAAAGAGTTCTCCAGAACTGTCTTCAACTGTAATTCTGAACTACTTAATAAGTGTTTGACTGAATCTTGCTGGAAAATGGTATCTGTGGTTACAATTTTTTAAAACTCTGGAAAACATTAAACTCATTTTAACCACTTTATTTCAGTCATTCTCAAAGGCCAACACTCTTTTTCATTTCCAGTAAATTCTAGGATACCTCAAGGTTCTATCTTTGGTCCTGTTTTGTTTCTAATCTACATTAATGATTTTCCTGACAACTTTACATCTAAAGTGGCTCTATTTACTGATGACTCAACTTGATACTCCTATCTTGACAAAAAGCCTTCTCTTTTCAATCTCACTTCTGTAACAGATTAGAGCTTGTAAATTTTAACTCCAACAAAACTCAGTTATTTACTGCAAACAACTATCGCAATACTAGCAACATTCCTATGTTGATGAATGGTCACCCTATCACTGAGTCCCATTCTTTACATCTTCTAACATTATTGCTCACTATTGACCTCTCATGGAAACCATATATACAATCGATTTAACTTAGCGGATGCTAATTATCATGCTCACTATTTTCTAATTCCATTCTCTACCTCTACAAACCTTTTATTTGCCCTTGTGTTGAATACTGTTGTCATATTTGGGCCAGTTCTTCTAATGATGCTCTTTCTCTTATAGACAAGGTCCAAAAAAAGATTGTAAACGTAGTTGGACCCACTTTTTTTGTCAAGCTTGTGCCTCTCTCCCATTATCTTAAAGTTAAAACTCTTTTTCTTTTCTACAAATACTATCATGGTCGCTGCTCAAAAAAGCTATCATCTCTAGTTCCATTAACTAAAACTTATTTTTGCTTGACTCACCGTTTAGCAAAGTCTCATTCTTTCACTTTATCTGTCCCTGCATGCTCCAAAAACCTTTAATTGTTTATTTTTTTTATATGCACTTCAACCCTTTGGAACTCCCTCTCATCTTCAAGTTTTCCTGACTAATACAACCTACCTATTTTTCTAGTCTTCTGTCAATTGTTTCCTTGCTCTTTAACTCTAACCTTTTATCCTCCCAACTTAATAGTGGTTGCTTGTAACTGTGTTGAATCAGAATTTAAAAAAAAAAGAAGATATAATTGGAGTAAGTTCGTAAAAATAACCATTTAAATTTATGAATTCTGCATTACCAAATTGATGGAAACTAAATGGAAAACTGATTTACGACCAACAACATAAATAGATCTGGAAATTATACAACTATAACAAAAATATAAATTACCAGATTTTATAGTTCCTGACTTAATAAAGATGCATTTTTTCTTAATTCTTGTACAACGCAACCTTTGAAAGAAGTTGATCTTATATCTATCTCACCAGGTTCAAGCTGAAAAACAGAAGAAAAAAATTAAACAAAATCAAAAACAAGATTTAAAAAAAATTACAGGAATACTTATAAATTACTGCTTATGAATGCTTAATGCTTTATAACTGTTAACATTTGCCGTATTAATAAAAATGTATTGTATAATTTATATAATAACTAAATTGATTGATATATTTGTAAAGCCAAGTATATCTAGTAATATGTATTTAACTTTCAGCTATTTACTTTATTGGTAATGTTTTTATTAAAAAGATATGAATATATATGATTTGTTTAGCAAAATTCTATAATATATAACATTTGTATTTTTATTTAATTTTATTTTATTTAAAATATATTTATTTTTTATTTAAAACATATAATTATTATTTATGAGACAAATTTTTTGACTGCTACTACACTAACTTTCAGTAAAGGCAAAAATACAACTGTTCTACAAAACAAAATTGAAATTTAAAAATGTGCATGAAACAACGTCTATGATATCATACAAAAAAAGCAGTGCTTGTTATAGTATTTGTAGAAAAGAAAAAGAGAAGCAAAATTACAACGATGTGATAATGGCTGAAGGTTGGCTGCAAGAGCAGGTTTAATTATTTTTACAATGCGTTTTTGAACTATATCTAAAAGAAAAAGGGCATCATTGGAAGAAACGCCCCAGATATAGCAACAGTATTCCATACAAGGACAGATTTGAAATTCATAGAGATAAAGAATAGAATCCATTGTAAGATGGTGGCGAGCATAAAGAGATGCAACCTTAGTAGATGCTAACTTTGCAATGGATTTGATACATGGTTTTCAAAAAAGATTGAAAGTAAGAGTTAATTCTATAAGATGAAGGGTAGATGACTCATCAAGTAAATCACCATTCATAAATATAGGAAGATCTAAATTATTGTGGTAACAATAGTCTAAAAAATATTGAGTTTTATCTAAATTGAATTTTACCAGCCACTGTGAGCCCCATGCTGAAGCAGAAGTAAGATCCTTTTCAAGCTCAAATGCTCCCTCCAAGCGATCAGAGAGTGTTGGCTTTTTATCAAGACAAGAATAAATAGTAGTAACATAAGCGAACAATGCCACCTTAGATGTGAGAATATCTGGAAGATTGTTAATTTAAAGAGCAGGGCCAAGGATAGAACCTTGAGTAACCCCTGAAGTTACTAGGGGCTGTACCAGATTTCGACTCCAGCTTTGGCCGAACTCTAGGCCATTTTTACAAATCCGGAAAAATTAAAAAAAATTAAATTTTTACAATTTAATTACTTAAGCCTAATTTCAAATAACAACTCAACAAAAAATTCTGAAGGGAATACACACAATATTCTTAAGCGAAGAAACACGATAGAGTCTGAAGTGAAGACACAAATTTGATTAAATATACATTCAATAAAGTTACAGTGCAGAAGGTATCAATGCAAGATTGAAGTCAATCTGAGCATGCTGAGCAGCAGATTGACAAATTTGAAGAAAATCCAGCAAAAATCAAGCTCGGCCGGGTAATTCTTCCACATCATCATTACTCTGACAATGTATTGATAAAATTGTTCAGACTACGTCTGCTGGTGGCACAGTACATGAACAACAACCAGTATCTGGCAGAACTGGAAATAAAGAGACACGCTGATCCATTACAGTGGTGGGGTGATAACATGCAACAATTGCCAGCTCTGGTGATAGTAGCTCACATTTATTTGGGTGCCCCACCAACAAGTGTACCATCAGAACGTTTGTTCAGTCGAGAACAACTTAAATACTACGAATGGAAAGGAAGAATTCAATAACCTTAAAGATGTTAACTGATACACCATAAGAAGAAAGCTATGGAAAAGACGAGCATACCAAACTTTATCAAAAGCTTTAGAAATGTCAAGAGCAATAGCCTTAACCTTTCAACCTCTATCTAATGTATAATAAAACCTATCGGTTATTACAGTTAGTTGGAAACAACTGAAAATACCTAGCAATAGGCCTACCAAACAAAATACCAACATAAATAACATTTTCTAGTACTAATTGAATTTGTACCAGAATTTAGTAAACGATTGCAGTCATGGACAGGAAAGGTGCGCAATTGCTTAATACCTGAACACGCATATAATTACTTTTTTTGAAACCTTGACCATGAATTTTTAATGCTTCAAAAATGCGCTGAAAAACCTAACAAAAGTAAGAAAAAAAAACAAGCCCAACTATAAAAAAAGGTAAGAATTCTTAATGAAGGAGAAATTAAACAAAAAAAAATCTTTAAAGCTCTAAAAAAAAGTTAACTAATATAAAACTAAAAAATTAAAACTCTCGTTGAAAATTATTTAATTATGCTCATAATTACTTGAATATCTTTAAAATTCTAATCTTTTCTAATGTTTTTATAATATTAGCCGAACCCTTTTAAATAGAAAATTAATTATAAAATAAAATCATTCATAAAATTGTATTCAAACATGATCATAAAATACACAAACTTTTTAAATTAAATATAATTTTTTTATAATATTCTATTAATTCATATTTAATGTTTTTTATTAAAAAATCATTAAAATTTGTTTCTTTATTAAAAAACGTTTAAAAAATTTTTTTTGTTGTTATTTTGTAAACTTTCAAATTAAGTGTTTTGTACTAATAGGGTAGTTTGAAAACATTTAATTAGAAAGTTTACAAAACAAAACAAAAAAACAATGTTTTAGACTATATTAACTGCACGAACTTTAAAAAAAAAAGTTTATTGAAACATATTGTTGTCATAAAAATCATTAAAAAAAACTTTTGAAATAAATAAAAATTTTATTTAATATTCTATGAAAATTTTTTTTTTAACTTTATTTAAAAGCGCTTAGCATCGTGTAAAAACATTTTATTAGAAAGTTCACAAAGCATTATAAAAAAATAACTTTGTTATGTATTCAAATATTAAATATATGTAATCATCAAGCAGTTTTTTTTTTAAATTGTTTTTGTTGTTGTTTATAATATTAATTACAACGCGGTAGTGGTGTAGTGGTAAAACACACGCTTCATAGGCGAGAGGTTCCGAGTTTAATTCCCACCACGTCCCTGGTAGTACCGCGCTCAACTTGCTTCTCCGCGCAGCGGCCTTGTTCGTCAAGGTTCGTGATTTGGAGTTATAGAGTTGAGAGAGGGCTATAACCACTATTAAGTAGCCTCCTCGGCCTTGAGGAGGTGAATAACAAAGAAAAAAAAAAAAAAAATTGTACAAATTCTCTTGAAAACATTTGCATAATAAAAAATACACTTTTTAACTATATAATACCTTTCAATAATATAAATAAAATGTTTTTTATAGTACACAACCCTTAAAAGCAATTTCTCACTTCATTACTTAATTTCAGTTGATTTTTGAAACATTTTCAAAAATCTAAAAAGCTGTGGTGAAGTTGTAGCAAAAAGCAAATTAAATGCGTGGTCAGGAATAGCATACAATCACACACCTTTCCTGTCCACAACTGCAATTGTCTCTATAGCTAATAATATTAAATATATTAAACTTAGACCAGCTTGAAATATAAAAATATTCACAAAATATATAGTTTTAATATAACACTATACACATTAGATTGATATAAAGCATCAACCAAACTCCCTAATACCAACTAATGAATGGTATTTAATTGCAAATTCTTTTTAGAACAAATTTTAGTTTAAAAAAAAATCCATGGTTGCTTTTCAATTACAGTTAAATCTGAACTTTTTAAAGCTTATTTTGATTATGAACTCATCAGATTTTAGAACTTTGAATCACTTTAAAACGATTTTATAAAGTCATTATTCTAAAAAAATATATATAAATACATATGGTAATAAAAATACATCAATACTTAATAACGTAAATAAAAGCAGAAGTAAATAAAAGAAGAAAAATAGAAGACATTGCCTTCAATTGGTTCTAAATACCATCAAAGTAAAAGAAAAAGTTCAGATTTGATTTTAGCTAAAAAATACCTCATTCCAAGCATATATTTCCTTATAGCAATTAGGAGAAAGACATAAACGAATACACTTGATTACTTCTAAACCTTGCTCTTCACTGCTAAGGTAATTTTCAATTCTACACTTTTCTGATGTTCTACACAAACGCTCCTCGCTATTGAACCTTCTTCCCTAAAATAAATATATATACTATTAAAATAAGTTATTATATATATATATTAAAAAAAGCATGTACCACACATAAAAAAGCACTTGCCAAAATAATAAAAGCATTTTGTTTAAATTGCAACAAAAATTTTTTTGTTTATTTGGTCAACTTTTATGAAAAATGCTTTTTTTTACTTACATTTTTTTTATTATCATTTTATCAAGCACTTATTCAAAGCATTCTTTTTACTGTTTTTATTTTAATAGCAGAAAAAAGGAATTTTTTAAATCATGCAGGCTAACTTAAAAAAGAACACCCTACCAGCGCTTTTTCGTGCGCTGGCATTAAATTTCAAACAGAGAAGACTGATAGCGCTTCCATTATTATATATATATATATATATATATATATATATACATATATATATATATATATATAATATATATATATATATATATATATATATATATATATATATATATATATATATGTATATTTATAAATATAAATACATATGCATATATATATACACACTTCAATAAACAATAAAAAGTTTATATGCATATATGTATATATATATATATATATATATATATATATATATATATATATATATATATATATATATATATATATATATATATATATATATATATATATATATATATATATATAGGCTATATGTATGTATATATATACATATATATATATATATATATATATATATATATATATATATATATATATATATATATATATATATATATATATATATACATATTATATTAGATATTTCTAAAGTTTTTGATAAGGTTTGGCATGCTGGTCTTCTCCACAAGCTCTCTTCTTACAGTGTATCATGTAACATCTTTAGGATTATTGAATCCTTCCTTACCAATTGTAGTATAAAAGTTGCCCTCAACAAACAGCCCTCTACTATATTTCCTGTAACTTCAGGGGTTCCTCGAGGCTCTACTTTACATTAAAGATCCCCAAGAAATTCTCACATCTAAGGTGGCATTATTTGCTGATAATACTCTCTAATTGCTTGGAGATGGCATTTGAGCTTGAAAAGGATCTCACGCCTGCTACAGGATGAGGCTCTCAGTGGCTTACTTACAATACTTCTTGTAAACCATATATCAAATCTATTGTAAAATTAGCTGAGGTTGCATCTCTTTATTGTGCTCACAACTTTCTTACTTTGGATTCCATTCTTTATCTCTATAAATCTCAAACCCGTCCTTGTCAAATTGTCCTCGGAATACTGTTGCCATATCTGGAGCAAATCTTTGAATGATGCAAAAAAGCATTGTAAACATACTTTGACATGCTCTAACAGCCAACATGTTGGCTGCAAGTAATGTTACTTCTCTTTCTCTTTCTATAAACACTATAATGGGTGTTGCTCAATGAGCTTGCGTCTCTTGTGCCATCTACTAAAATTCATTCTTATGTTACTTATTACTCAATCAAGTCTCATCCTATTACTGTAACTGTTCCTAAGTGCTCAAAGAATATTTATTTGTCTAGTTTTTTTCCTTGAACATCAGTTCTTTGGAATTCCCTTTATCTTGTTTTCCTAATTCATATAATTTGCAATCTTTTAAGTCATCTGTTAGTCATTATCTTGGTTCTTAAACTTCATCTTTTCTCTTCTAGAAACTTTCAACTCTAATAGTGGTTACTTGCAGCCTTGTTGAAAGTGAATATGTATATATATAAATATATATATATAAATATATAAATATATATATATATATATATATATATATATATATATATATATATATATATATATATATATATATATATATATATATATGGCTCATTTCATTTTATATATATATATACATTTCATGTATATATATATATATATATATATATATATATATATATATATATATATATATATATATATATATATATATATATGGCTCATTTCATGCTAAATGGACCATGGTTCAACAATGAACTAACTGGGCTGCCATCTTTTCTCTCTCTCTCTCTCTCTCTCTCTCTCTCTCTCTCTCTCTCTCTCTCTCTCTCTCTCTCTCTCTCTGCTAATGAATGCGCCTCATACATAATCTGGATCCAGGCAGGTATTTCAGGTAGATCCAGATGCAGATGCTTTTATTTTTTCTTGTGTGTTCAATTTTACTCTATGGTTTTCACCTTCTTGTGCAGCTCTCAAAAGAGCTGTTCTTTTCAAAAGAACAGCTCTTTTGAGAGCTAACACTTATATATTATTGCAAGAAATCAATGTAAAAAGGTGTCTGATGCTAAGCTCCATTAATCCGAGTTTACTAAATCTTGTCTCTTATCTCAGGCTCTAGAGACTGAGATAAGATACAAGATTTGGAAAACGGTACGGCCTAGCATACGGCCTAGCATTTCATCTTTAATTCATGAAAATGATCTTATAACCTCTCTCAAGGATAAGACAGAGATATTTGCAAAGTACTTTTGCTTAAATTTAACTCTTGAAATTAATGGCCCTTACTACCATTCCATTAAAACAAGTCCACCCATTCTTTCAAATAACTTCAGCTTCCATTAGTAATGTGATATCTTAATTAAAATCTTTTACAGCTTGTGGTCCAGACAACACTCCTGTCAAAGCCTTACAAAAGTGTTCAATTTTGCATTGCAAGAAGCTATTATTACTCTGACTAAAGCTTTCAATAAGACTTAAAACACTGGTCTTCTCCATAAGTTTGTTTCTTATTGTGTATCAAGGAAAATTTTAGAAATTATCAAATCATTTTTTTCTAAATGCTTTATTAAAGTTATCCTTGAAGGCCAACACTCTTCATATTCAGTAACTTCTGAGGCACCTCAATGTTCTATATTTCAACCTATTTTGTTTCTTATCTACATTAATGATCTTCCTGAGAGCCTTAAATCTAAAGTGGCTTTATGTCTTCTTGGATTATGATTCACTACTAACCTCTCATGGAAACCGTATATGCAATCAATTACAAAGATAGCAACTGCTAAGTTTGTTTCTTTTTATTGTGTTCACCATTATCTTACTTCTGATTCTATTCTCTACACCTAAGAATCTCTTATTTGTCGCATTATGGATTACTATTGTCATCTTTGGGCTTTCTATTTTAGACTAAGTCCAAAAAAGTATAACAAACAAAGTTGAAACTGCTTTATCTACCAAGCTGAAGTCTTTCTCCCATCGTCATAAAGTTGCATCTCTTTCTCTTTTCTACAAATACTATTATGATAGCTGCTCAAAGGAGCTATCATCTCTAGTTCCATCAATCAAAACTCATTCTCACTTTACTCATCACTCAGCATATAAAGTCATATCTTTTTACTCTACTCTATACTCTATCCCTGCATGCTCTAAAAACTTTTATTCATCTAGTTTTTTTCCCCACACTTTAACCCTTTGCCATCTTTATGTTTTCCTGATACAAATCACAAAATTTTAAGTCTTCTGTTAACCATTTCCTTGTTCTTTAACTCTATTATTTGTTTTCTAGTAACTCCCAAATTAATAGTGGTTGCTTTCAGCCTTGTTAGGAGTGAATTTGAGTTTGCATTATATATTAAAATAAAAAATACATATACATATATATAAAAGTATAATCAGTACTAAAAATAAATCCTAAATTAAGTCTGAACTAAAATCAGTTTTTAAATGACCTTATTTCTTTCCTCTCCCCTCCCCCATTATCAATTTAGTTTTGCCCTGAACTTATTTTGCTATTACTACTGCCCAGAACTATTACTACTAGAATTGTCCAGAACTATCCATTTATTTTTGCCTAAAACTTACTAACTTTGCCCAACATTTATAATTTTGACCAGAACTTATATTAGAAGAAATTTGCTATTGAACATTTTAACTTACACAGCATTTCTGATTTTTAATGTCTGAAGCATGAAGTATCTTTATGCACAAATAAATAATTGAAAATATACATTTAAAAGCTGTGACATAAAAGACAAATAAGTTATGGTGTCAAATCTCATGGAAACTTTAGTTTATATTTTTAAAACTTGAAATTAAATATCATAGTTAACACATGGTGAATAGATCCTAATGAAAAAAAAAATTAAGTAAAAAAAAATTCATAAAGTAAAATTTGCTAAAATCAAGATAATTAAATTTTTGATAACTAACAAGATTTTTAAATTGCGTTTAAAAAACAACAAAGATTATGAAAGCTTAGATTATGAAAGCTCTTTTGTTGTTTTTAAAAAACAACATAAGATTATGTAAACATAAAGATAATGATTTTAATGAAATTTACATTTTAAAAGAAAACTTTTTTATGCACCTCTAAAAATTTATGCATAGATTGTTCACCTCTAAAACTAGTTGCTCATAAAGACAGGGTCAGCTATGTCAAAAATAAATAAAAAAGACAAATAAGATCCATACTGCAACCACAAAGAAAACAGCAACTGTTTTGAGAGTTTCTATGGGTTTAACTAATGTCAAACTAAAAACATAAAAGCTGTGTTGCAAATGTAAACGAGACTTGGACTCACTAATGAAATTAATTAAAGCAAAGTTTAGGTGTCTTCAAAGTCAGAAAAACCTAAATTACTGACTTTGGTTCCTGAGAATCGAAACATTAATTATACACACAAAACTATTTTATATATAAAGAAATAGGGGAATTAAGTCCTATGACGCATTAAGCCCCATTTTTTTAGTTCATGTAATAAAATTTATATTTTTATTGTACTGAGAGAGGCATTAAGCTACGAGAGAGGGGCATTAAACTACAAGATACTAACCAATCAGAGACTAACTAACCAATTAGGAAACTTTTTGTAACCATTCCTGGATTTCTAACCAATGGTATTAATTTTTAATTAGAATTTATAAGTGAGTGGTCTATCCATTCAGTTTTTAGTT